AATTATGTAATCACATGCTATTTTTCGATAATGTAGCTTTCATGTAGGGTAAAGAATATTAAGTTTTCTAGTTTTTTAAAAAGCAAACAAAAAAATTCCATCATGTGGCATTATATTGACACCTACACAGCTCAGCACAGCATTGTTGGAACTTTTAGATCCCCTGCACAGAAGTCTGCCGATGAGCCAGTGGAGTGACTGATAGTGGTGCTAGTGTCCTCCTCCTTGGGCCAGCGCTAGAGGGTGAATGAGACACACATTTTGCAAATGGGCGTCACAGATATTTGCTGATAGCAGAAGGATGATGATGGTTGGGCATCTTGGGTTCCATTCCAGGCTCTCAGAGAGTGTACTTTTGCAGACACAGGCTCTTCTGCCCTTTCCCCCAAGCTTGACTTTCCAGCCTGTCCCAGACATGTCTCTTCTCACCCCAGTTCTTGTCCTAGTCCCATTCTCACCTAGTCAGTCCTAATCTCCTTGCCCAGCCAGTCCTAGTCTTTCCCTCTGGGTTCTTCATCCAGTGTGTCTTTCCTTGCTAGCTCCCTCCCTGGGCTTCTCATCTAATTTCCATCTTCCCCACTACCCTTTCCTTGGCTGATTGTCTCAGTTGCTTTGCCCAGTCAGTCCCAGTTCTCCACCTGCACTCCAGCTCTTTGTCTGATCTGTATCTATTCTCCTTCCACTGGCTCCTCGTCCCAGTCTCCTTGTCCAATCTATGTTTTCCCCCTTCCCCCAGCCAACTGACTTCCAGTCCCCTCATGTTTCACTAACTGGCTCCCAATCGTCTTGCTCACCCACTCCTACCCTCCCACCCAGTTCCCAGTCTCCTAGCCAAAGTTCCTCTTCCTGCCCCCTCCAATTCTTGTATCACCAAACTCCTTGTTACCAATATACTACTTTTCCTCCCCTCTTCCTTCAAATCTGACAGCTTCCTCTTTCCCACTGCCTGAGTAGTGGTGGTGGCAGCGGCGGCGGCGAAGAGACATCAGAGCCCAGGAGAGACAGGCTTCCTACCCTGTTCTGGAGCACTCATTACAGGGTGAAAAGCCAGCTTTGACCCCCTGTCCCCCTTGGCTGGCGCACACTCAGTAGCTTTGTGGAGATAGCTTATATGTAGTCTGGTCTTCTTTAGGAGCTGTGAAAAGCTTGATCTTGCTTGGTGAGGGCAGAATCTTTGAAGATTTTTAGGTGCTAAAATCTCAGCTGAGCATGTGTGAACTACAGCTTTTCAAAGGCTTATGTTCAAATTAGGATGGTTTTTCGTGAAGACTGCAAAAAGCACATCCCTGATGGAAGGGCCACCCCCTGCCGTATTTCATGTCCCTGCTCTGAAGCATGGGCTGCTAGAAGTGTTTAAAGAAAAGAAATATTTTAACAAGGGTAAAACAAAGTTCTACTTCTCTTCTCGCTGTCCTGGTGGTAACAGGTGAGAATTTTGTTATGCATATACAGCAAGTGCAAACAACACTATTAAAGTTTGCTTTTTTTAGTTGAGTTTAGGATATTCTGTCTGAATTACTCTCTGATGCCAAGGGATTCCCATCTCCTAGCAAAAGATTAGTAAAATACTGACTGCTTGAAAATTAAATGACCAGTATTTGTGTCTAAACGAGGTAATGTTCTAGAACAGTGCTTCTCAAAGCCAGTCCGCCGCTTGTTCAGGGAAAGCCCCTGGCGGTCTGGGCCGGTTTGTTTACCTGCCGCGTCCGCAGGTTCGGCTGATCACGGCTCCCACTGGCCAATGGGGTCTGCGGGAGCAGCGGCCAGCACATCCCTCGGCCCACACCCCCCAGTGGGAGCCTTGATCGGCCGAACCTGCGGAGGCAAGGAGGGAATTAGGTGTACATACCAAAATTACATCTTTCTAGACGTAGTACAGTTTAGTCTTAGCCTGATGTTTGTGTGTTACAGCAACATTGATAAAAGCCGTACACTCCTCATGCTGGTTTTAGGAATGTCGAATGCAAGCTGAGATCCATTTCTTATCTTATATTTTATGGTTAGCCACATTTGTAACTGCTTTCTCATTGCTATTATTTATTCTGAATAAAGTTGGAAGTGTTTCTGCAAACAGGCTGGATTTTTATCAAAATATACATTGCAGTCATGTCTCTCCCTCTTCTTCCCCCTTCTCCCCCCAAGTTGTGTTTCTGACAAAAATATTTTGGCAGTCCCAGGTGGTGTGTGGACCTCTTTTCTACTTTCTTGCGATTGTAGCTTGGGAGTTCAATTTTGCATTGACTACTGGGGAGTAAAAGTATATGACTTCTTTGTATTTGAATTCTGTTCATTATGGTGAGAATTTTAGAAGAGATCTGGAAAATATTTTATATTACACTGAAATTCTTTCAGTTTTTCCTTTTCTGTACTGTGACATCTATTCAAGTATCTTCAGAGCCGTATAGAAAATGACAACCTTTTATTAAATCTGCCTGCTTTTTTAAAAATCGTTAACTTGTTTTTAAATATGCACAAGAATTGCCATAAGTTTTCTAAACTTGTGGTGTGGTGGTGATGTACTTGGAGATATTAATAAAAATCTGATCTTTGAAATTTGTATTATTAACTGAGTTTAAGAGATGTAAAATCTGAAAGAGTGAGCTGATCTACCTTAAGTCAGTTTATTCTGTTCCCTCCTGTGTTAGGGCAATATTTGGAGGATTGGATGAGGACGTTTTAGCATCTCCTTTCTCTTGTCTCAAAATAGTTAAAGGTGGGTTTTGAGCATTTACTTTGGATTTTGGACTTCCATGTACATCCAAGCTGTTAGCGGTATCCAATAGACTGCCTATTAGATACCTTAGATAAGATGCCTGGATTTTGAAGAGTCCTCTATTTTGTTATGCTGCAGAAGCTTGTATTTGATTTCCCACCCATTCCCAAATGAACTTATGTACCCACTGCTGCAGTTGTTTTTTTGCTTTCAGTGAAGTTTTGTTACACAAAATGCAGTTTTCTCTGATAGAATTCTACAAATGCACATTCTTATTCAATGCCTTTAGTCCCCGTACATATTCAGTCATGTCTGCTTAATCTAATTGTAAAAGCAGCATCCTGCTTTTTACCACTTAAACTTGCGAAGACTAAATTAGATTCTAGTCTATATGAATATTTTAAAATATGCGTGTACATCCTCAACAGAATTGTTCTCTAGCTATAAATCAGTTATATGTGTACAAGGCTTTAGGTTTCAACACATTGTCTGTGAGGTATCTCAAAAATTGTTGGACACAGTAAAGGTTGGTAGGTCCCAAATTTACTTTTATTTTTTTATTAAATAAAGTTCTTTCTTTCCCCAAAACTTGTTTGGTTTTCTTTGAAGATGCAAGATCAGTGCTAGCAATCATCCTTTACCTGGGAGCAATCCTAACATAATAATTTAGTATGTTCATACCATAATGGAAAATGTATGTGCCAGGGAGACTTCATAAAGAGATGTTTTTAAGTTTCAAGAATCCCAGTGGTTAAGAACTAGAAATTTTAAACTCTTAAACTGTCAACATCTTGATATCTTCCTATATACATTAAGTGTAAATCTTATCGAACTTCAGGTTTGTTTGTAAAATATGAAGACTTTTTTGAACTCCACTAAATGAAGAAAAAAAAACAACAATTTACCATGTGAAATTAAATCTGGCAGTTAAAATGTTATTTCTTTCTGTACTCCTGTGGCAGCTTTCTCTTCAGACTTTATGGGAACACTTTAATTTAAATCATACTGTAAAACATTTTCTGTTTTATAAACAAGTGATTAAAATTGAGGATTTTAAAAAACCTTATTTACTTTTCACTGTTAATCTGTCTGCCTTGCAGCTTGAAGATGAGCTGTTCTTCATACACCGGCATCATCAGTGGTTATAAAAGATACTGTAGGCCAAATTCTGATGCCTGTTATATCTGCATAAAATCCTGTTTTAAGATTATACCCTAAAATGTGCAATTGTATTTGCATAATTTGTGTAGTTGAAAGTGGAATTTGATCTTGTAGCATGTTTTCTACACGTGTATGAAAATAATCTAGATTGGTTTTTCAGAACCCAGGGTAAATTGTTAGGGCTGGCAATTGAAAAAGCTCCCTTCTGAACGGAGAATTTGATGTGCTGGCATTGTAGTGTATTTTCAAAAGTGAGTTGCTGTGCTTCTACTAGCACAGTAGCAGACTTAATAGTGGCACAATCCTATTTCTGTATCTGTGTCTCTACCTCCGCCAGCTCTCTCTCAAATCTTAAACATTAAATATCTCGATCTTGACGGGACTTAAAAAAAAAGTTCACTATGGAATGGATCCACAATACTTGTGTTTTAAAAACAGGATTTTCCTCCTGTCTCAAGGGACTTCTGTAATGTTATTTAATTTGTTTTTTTAAAAGTGTATTTCTTTTAAGACTGCTTAGAAATATCAGGAAATTAAAACTGACTTTCTCTAGCGAGGCAATTTCAAGACACTAAACATACAACCATTTGGTTTATATTTGCTCTTTAAAAGCAAATATAAGTCTTTGGTCTCAGCAAGTTATTCTGGTCTTGATTGTTTAGGAGTATACTTTTTTCTGTGGTTTGTCTCTAAACTGCAATGAATGTTAACTTGGTGTATTTCTATATAGCAGCTGGAATCATGTTTCCCTGCATGCACTAGCTCTGCTTGAGCTAGCATATGTCTGTCTATCTGCACTGGGAAACATGCTTCGAGCTGCTACATAGACAAACGCTTGGTGCGGTGACTGGTCTTGGCAGAAAATTCCTCTCTGCCTTAGATGCAAACCATACCTTACTAAACTAAGTTGAAAGTTGCAATTTACAGATTTGAGTTAAGTACTTGCTGAGAGGCAAAGCAAGAATAGGAAGTGCCTATTTGCAAACCTGTTCTCTGAAAAGAGACAGACTTTCATATACCATGTTTACATGAGCAAGTAAAATGATTTCCAGATAGACTTATTTTAACACTTTTAGCAGAAACATATCTTAATTACAGCAGTTGCCTAATATTTTACCTCTTTTAGTGTTTTAGAAACAAGATCGCCATGGCCACAGAAATTGGCTCCCCACCCCGGTTTTTCCATATGCCGAGGTTCCAGCACCAGGCACCTCGGCAGCTGTTCTACAAGAGACCTGATTTTGCACAGCAGCAGGCAATGCAACAGCTCACCTTTGATGGGAAACGGATGAGAAAAGCTGTGAACCGGAAAACCATAGACTACAATCCCTCTGTAATTAAATATTTGGAGGTAAGTCTAGTTAGTCTACTGTACCAAAGTCTGAATAGTGTTTTCTGAAACTCTGATTATTCAAATTTCAGGTAATTGGGGATTATGTATAATTGACAGTGTTCTTTCAGAAATATACAGATTCAGTGAAGCGCGTGGATAGAGGTTGCTCATTCTGAATAAAACAATAAACCTTTAGTGCATATTTGAAGTGGAAGATTTACTGTTATATAAAGCTTTTCTGTGAATTCAGATTTGGGACAAGAATTGCATATATTATTACTTTGTTTTGACATTCAAGCTGACCTAAATCATATGTTAATTATGTTAAGATTCATATGATCATTCTTTGTCAACTTTTACTTTTTCTTTGTGGGGAGAAATGCTAAATAAAAAAAGACTTGTTTGTCCATATTGGGCAACAGAAAAGTACCGTATTT